CAACTTGAGTTTTCCCGCATCCTTCCCCCAACTGTCACTCCCCTCAATTTTAATTTTTTTGATCCCCCCCCCCCCCATCCCCCATTTATGTCTTGTTATAGAATACTCTCTTTCTTAAATTCTGGAGATTGTGGTCTATTTTTAAAAAATCCAGGTAGATTTTTTTGGGAATTCTTGAAAATTTGAGTTTTGTCAAACCCTTCGCCTCAATGCTTTTGACTCAAACATCATTTTTTTTTTGTCAACCCCGTCTCGTTAAACGTTGTTATATTTTTTTGAAATTATTGAGATTTTTTGTGAAACATTTGTATTTTCAAGTTTCCCTGTCACCCCTCAAGTCTCCCTTCAATTTTCTTCATTTAAACATTTGTTTCTACAATTTTCTCCCACCTGGCCCCCTCATCTATTCTATTTTGTTGAGATTATGGTCTTTTAGGGATGGTTTTTCTTTGGGAAGACAGACTGAAGGCGTCGTTAAATTCAAAAATTTGAATTTTCCCAAAAACTGTCCACAACCGTCACCTCTTCACCCAACCCCCAGAGAGAACCATTTCGGGTTTAGCCCCCTCCAACCAACGGGGTTTAAACCCACCACCCCGTCCGTGCCCAACTTTGGCCGCCCAAGAAATCCCTCTCCGCCCCATGGCACCAGCTGGGTTCCCCGAGTCCAAAATCTGGGACTGATCCTTGACGCCATGGTGACGTCTCTCCGGTGTTGGCCGTTGGCGGCACTGCCCCCAGGTCCAGCTGGCGGGCGCCGGCCACATCGAACAGACCTGTTCCCCAACCCCAACCCCCGCAACCCCAATCCAAGGCAAATGAAGACCGGAAATAAAAAAGAAATAGAGAGCAGCGTTCGCACCTTTTAGACCTCCTCATGCTCCCTGCAGCACCGAATCAGCTCCCAACCTGCCCTGACCCAGAAAAGGACAAACCGCATCATTGTGCGAGACTCACCCGCCGCCACCAACCCCTACCCCCAACCTCGGCAAGACAGCCACCAGCCTTCCGCCGTCTTCCGTGAGACCTGATCTCTTTGAAAGATTCTGCTTTGCCCGTGTTTAGAAGTTTGCAAGGACTGTGCAATGAGTCCCAGATCGAAACACATGCATCAAAAGGCCTTTAGAGTTGGCAGGCTGACCAGCAGTCTTGTTTTTGACGTTCTGGGGACAGACTGGACTTGGCCAATTGACTTAAACCAAGCGCTGGGCAGTTGAAAGCCAACTGAATTTAAAACTGATGGTTTGGACGACCGCTTGATGAGAAATTGAAGTGTCACTGGGGGCATAGAAGAAGAGGGGTTTTGAAAAAAATCAGGCCGAGAGCCAACTGAAGCACAAAGCAAGTGGGCCATCTGAGAAAGAAACCCTAGCTCTCATCACACAAAATCCTTTCTAAAAATAAAACACACCATCAAAGGTGCCAGAGCACTCCCAGCTAAGACTCCTCACAGAAGAAATCATGGAGAAAACATCCCTGACCGCAGGATCAGCAGAAGAAAGGCTGGAGAGACAGTGGAGGACGCAAAGAATTCCGGAAGACACATTCTGTTTGGGGGACTAAGTTTTGATTTATTTATTTCTTTTCTTACAGCTTGAGTTGATATGAGTGGGAGCTGTGTTTGCTGGAACGGCAGGCCAGTACAATTTGAGTTCAGTGAGGGAATAGTTAGCAGTTAGGGGGGAATTGCTCAGTTTGTTAGGAATTTGTTCATTGTCAGGGTTAAATGAATGAGTTGCTACATACGACGTGAACCTCAGGGATTGTCTTTCACTTAATCTGCCCTTCTCCGCAACAGTTTCACACATGAGGCGAGGTCAGGGGAACTTCTCTGAGTGTTTCGGGTGAAGCTAACGGAAAGGGATCTTTACTCCCTCCGCAACAGACTGGGGGCTTGTGGTTCGGTTTTAATTATCAGATTTCCTCTTCCGAACAGGAGCCACCCCCAGCTCGATGAGATGCCCTGCTAAGGATGTTTCTGTCAGGGAAACCCCCTTTGATTACATTCCAACATGGAACAAGCTGCTGGGTATCTGTTACTGCAAGAAAAAAGGGAAAAAATAACAATCGAGAGAGTAAAGCTCCCTCTACACCGTTTCCCCGCCCCCCCCATCAAACACTCCCAGGGACAGGGGGTCAGATACAGAGTAAAGCTCCCTCTACACTGTCCCCCCCATCAAACACTCCCAGGGACAGGGTGTTAGATACAGAGTAAAGCTCCCTCTACACCGTCCCCCCCGAATCAAACACTCCCAGGGACAGGGGGGTGAGATATAGAGTAAAGCTCCCTCTACACCGTCCCCCCCCAGTCAAACACTCCCAGGGACAGGGGGGTGAGATATAGAGTAAAGCTCCCTCTACACTGTCTCGGAGAGGCTATGTGCTGACTGACAGTGTGTGTGTGTGTGGGAGGCTTCGCTGCTGGAGCGTTCAGACTGACTGGTTTCAGTAATAAATCTTCATCAAGCGGAACAAGATACCAGCAGAGTGTGATACCATCTGTTTGCAGCTGCTTTCCACCTCAATGTACAGCCGAGAGGTGATCTGTGGGCAAGGGCTGACATTGATTCGAGTGAGCGAGGAAGGAAATCATAGACAGGGACAGAGAGGGAGAGGGAAGGAGACACTGATAAATACTGGGAGACACAGAGGGAGAGAGTAGGGTTAGGATCGTAGGGGGCTGGAGGAGGTGACGGAGATAGGGAGGGAGGGATTTGAACAGGAGGGTGAGGATTGTAGGGGGCTGGAGGAGGTGACGGAGATAGGGAGGGAGGGATTTGAACAGGAGGGTTAGGATTGTACGGGGCTGGAGGAGGTGACGGAGATAGGGAGGGAGGGGATTTGAACAGGAGGGTGAGGATTGTAGGGGGCTGGAGGAGGTGACGGAGATAGGGAGGGAGGGATTTGAACAGGAGGGTGAGGATCGTAAGGGGCTGGAGGAGGTGACGGAGATAGGGAGGGAGGGATTTGAACAGGAGGGTGAGGATTGTAGTGGTCTTCCTTGCGTCGAGGAGCTAACAGGATAAGGATGGGAGTGTTAGCCCTTGACAAAGAGAAATAATTAGATTTTTGGTAATCTCCTCACATCTGTCTGTCACAAACGCTGAGGTTTATGTAGGAGCAGAATTCTGCGTCATATCCACAACCTCTTCTTCAACTGCTTCCCCACGTCATATTCTCAAATTTATAACCCCAAATCAGCAACAGATTGAAGAGCCCGCACTTCATCCAGCGGCTCAGTTCCAATTCCCCTAGAGAGGGGGGGGACTGAGAGACACCAGTCAGTGTACAGATATCTCCCTGAGAGAGAGAGAGAGGGGGGACTGAGAGACACCAGTCAGTGTACAGATATCTCCCTGAGAGAGAGAGAGAGAG